TTCTACCCAACATCCTGCAGCACAGGAGCTCACTGCCTTTCCTTGTAGAGGACCTGGAGGGCAGGACCATGATCAGCCTCCACAGTACACAGGGATACAGCTTTGTTCAGAGCATCAGTAACCACCCTCCCTTCTTTACCAGCGATAAAGCAGAAAGCAGTTCACCTGAGCTGGAGATAATGCACTTCTTTAGATACTCCAGTAAGCTGTATTGTTATAGCTCTCTTCAAACTAAGTTACGTCTTGTCTCATCAGGACAGTTTAACGTTAGTGCTGAGCACCCGTGGCCATCTCAGGGCAGGAGGCTGAAGGCCTCTCATTCTTGTGCTCATCCTCTGTCTGTGGGAATAGGGGTGGAGGGGCAGCAGAGGAAAAGGAAACTTAAGATGAAGTGCTGACTTAAAGCAGCATTTTGTGCCAAGAGCTCAGGAAATTCTGAGTCAGAAGCTGTTTGCTTCCTAGAGGCACAATACCCCAAAAGACGTGGAAGACAACAAAAGTCCTACAGTTCTGTAAGCCTTGTACCACAGGCAGAGCTGGCCAGTATCCCACACTTGCAGCATCCATCCAAGGAGGGATGCTGGTGGGACAGACAGAGCCTGCACAGCAGCTGGATAGGAGGAAAAAAATTTTCACAGTGCAAGGTGTTAAAATGCAGAACTAGGGCCCCAGGAAGGCTGCATGACCCTGGAAACTGCAGCACTGAAAGGATGAGGCTCTTGGGAGACAGCCCTGTTTGAACAGGGATAGGACTGGTGACCTCCAGGGGTCCATGCCAGCCTCAGTCACTCTACAAGCTCATAATAAAAAGCCAGTCTCATGCCACGTTTCAAAGTACAGTTTGTGACTGGAGCTTGAAGAGGCCCAAAAACAATTCAGCAGGGAAACTGCCTTTCATCTCAATGGCTTTTATTTTAGGATGAACTTGACCTGCCAGTGTCATTATTTCCGTGAATTATTGACAAATTGTGTCACTGGGTGCAAACTGGCCCTAAATCGTCTCTGTGCATGCAGAGGCTGCACCAGCTGGTTGTTTCTGTGCAGAAGTTGCTGGGTTCAGCAGGTCTCCCTGTTCCTCTCTCTCGCACTGGGATCCATTCCTTGTGAGTCAATGACTGATCATTGCACAACATTTCTCTGCAAATGAGTGTTTGAAGAGGCCTTGGCTGGATTGCACAACCCTACTTGGTCAATACCTCCTGGAACACTCCTGTCTGCTGAGAGCTCACACAAGGGCTGGCACATGACTGTCTTGACTAACCAGGGGAGGCCACAGATCACCAGGCTGGGCTGCTTCCTCTTTGCTTGGGCTGCAGCATGAGGAAACCCCATGGAAAAGCCAATGAACAAAATCCCATGGAGCCTTTAAAAATGCCCATTTCATTCCCACACTTGACCTCTTTTTCTCACACCATCTGAAATGCCATCTCTGTCCATCATGGTGGTAGTGAAGCAGATGAAGGATTTTCTGAGGGGGACCACCAAAGCTACCCCAGAAAGTTCATTTGGCCAAGAGGTGGGGAAATTCATGGGCCATTGTCATGAAGCAGGTGCAAGTATAGGGCAAGCCACTCCTTGAAGCAGTGTACCATGGCAGCAAAAGCACCTGCAAACAATCACTTGGCAGGCCAGAACTCTGCTCAGGGTTGTCAGGATCCACCTCAACCAGGTGGTGCAAGCATCCACCTCAACCAGGCTAGTACTCCGATCAGGGTCTTCAGTGGTCCCAGTCTCTGTTCTTGTGACAGTTGTGAGGCAAATGAGGGAAACTTCAGACCATCTCTTTCAATGCCATGTCTCTCATATCGTCCCCTGAAAATTCTGTCTTCCTCCTTAATTTTTTCTCCTGATTTTGCAGCATCTGTCAGGTTAGTTTTGGCATGTTTTGGTCCTTTGCACTGCACCTCTTTTCCTATCAGACCATTTTCTTGTAGTCACTAAATGTCCCAATTTGCTGGGGGTTTTTTTTGTTTTTTTTTCAATTGCATTTCATTTGATCATATCTCTTTTTCAGAGTGTTTGTAAGTCTTTCTTTTCCCTTTCGTAAGATTTCGTTTCCCTTCCCAAAAGGAAATTTCATTTCATCCAAAATCCAATGTGGGTCATCTCCCAGCTTATGTTCCCTGACAAGGGACAGCTGTGGTCACGTCACCCCTGTACTTCAGAGATGTACGTTTAATGAAATGTTGCTGGTGGTTTATATGATGGGACCAAACAAGCCAGTTGCCCACAGCCTCTGAGCATGCTATGCTCTGCACTGAGCCCTGGCACAGGGATTTCCTTCCAGGCAGCTCACAGCCAGGCATGGTAATTTGCATTACTATCAATAATCTCTGGGTTTGGGAGAGCCATGGCAGCTCTTGCAAATCAAATCAGAGCTTTGCAGTTGTTATGCCAGAGGAAAATATTGCATGTGCAATTTGAGAAAAGCATACATAAATTCAAAGGTTCAAGGCACTCCTTGCACTTCAAAAACTGGAATCTGCAGGTCTGATTTTGCGTCTAGACATTTAGTAAATTTAGGTCTGAGCCCATTCAGATTGCAGTGATTTAGCACTTTTTCCACAGTCTCCACTGACCTGCTCTATCCCATACTTCTCCCTAGCCCCAAGGTCCAGCTGGTGACTCAGATGTCCCAGGACACTGAGGTGCTAGAGTGCTTCACTTTATCAATCAGTTACTTGGCCCTGGCTGGTGCAAAGTCCAGTTGCTCTGCAGAAATATCCAGCTGATCAGTCCTAGCTTCTTTCCTTCCATGTTTCTGTTTTAACCTCTTACCCATCAGATTACTTTTAGGTAATTGACTCATTGACTGTGAATGTTATCATATAACGATAACCTGATCAGGCCAAGGATCAGGGGAGCATCAGGGGAGGCTCCAATCCTCTCCTGGACATCCAGCACATTCCTGGCCCTGGGGACAGGCTGAGGGCAGTGGAGATGGAGACCACTCCTACTGCAGCATCACTATGGCAGGGGCTGACAGCCTTGGGAGGCTGAAGTGGGGTCCTGGACCATGGCCGGGGGGGAGGCACTGGGGAGGCACTGGAGACAGTCACAGCTGTGTGAGTGCCCTCAGGGCCCTGAGAGCAGCATCACCTCCCAGGTCAGTACTAGAAACTTGTGTCTCAGGTTTAGCCCCAGCATCCCAAGTGCCACCCTGAGGGCAGCCAGGCTGCCAGCTGGAGCACACAGCCCTGCAGGAGGGTGATGGCAGCATGAGGGAAGGCTTCAGCTCTGGCATCCTGCAGATGTGCTGCCCAGAGGCAGGGCAGAGGTGCCAACAGCTGCACATAGCAGAAATAACCACGGCTTTGGAGTCAGCTGTGCTGTCACGCACTGCACGCTCTGCACATGATATCCTCAAAACCAAGATTGCTGTTATTCACCGTTCCTCATTCTTGGTAGTTGTCCCTTCCCAACAAGATGAGCACACAGCCCATGCTGGCAGATGTACAGCACTGGTTTGCTATCTGTATGCAGATTTGGCTGCAGCTGGGGCACATAGACATGGACATTTATTTCAAGCCCCAGAGACTGAGAGAGGGACCAGCTTTATGTAATACCCTTTTATCCTTGTAGCTTCAGAAATAAGGCAGAGACCTTGGGCAACTTGGCCCAAGGTGCCCTAAATCTCTTTTGAATGTTATTGGGAGGAAACAATAGCAAGTCTGAGTAAAACAGCTTTTTGTAATCAGGGCTTTGCTATCCCTGATTCCAAGCTGGTGGAGCTGCAGTGGAGGTTACTGGCTTCCTGCAGGCAGACAACCCAGTATTTTGTGTTTGCAGCGGGAATCTTGCCTGTGTGAAGGCACCCAGAAGACACAGGCCTGTCTTGCAACTAGGGCTCCTGTTTTCATTATTCAGTCCTGGAAAATTGTTTTCAAATTCAATGAAATGCATTTTTGCATTGATTCAGTATATTCTGTGGGAATTTGTTTTTTCAGGGAAATTTAAGCCTTCAATGACTGAATGACTAAAAGCACACATAGAAAGGAGAATTAGAAAGTTCCATCTGCAACAGCCTGAATTTATTAAAGTAATAACCTGGTGGGAATTACAGCTAGGATAACACTTGTGAAAATGACAGCCATATAAAAAGGGATTGGTATTTAATTCTAATTCCTTTTAACTTTCAAATTTTAATCTGGTTTGATACACTGGGCAAATTATTAAGTTTTTTACAAAGGCTTATTTTAAAATAATTGCACCATATCACACATTAAAATAAATATACAATTAACCAGACACTAAGAAACAACCAATGTGAATAAAACTGCTGCACATGTAAAACTGATGATGAAGACTTTGAATCTTTAGGAAAAATACATTGATGAAAATGCCTATGCTACCTGATTTGAGTGACAGATAGAAGGCAAAAAACATATTCTTAGTGAAAGAACAGGGTCATCTTGCCCTGTTTGTAATTATGTGGATTTCAAAGGCAAAGACGTTGTTGACAGCAAGACAGAGATGGAGCTCTGCTACAGGTGGCAACCCTATGCCACTGAATTCATCAGACAAGACCCAGTTCATTCAAACTGGGTGAACAGATACCATAAAGCACAAACACAGTCTTACCTCCAAACAGACTGAGGTGTGTGCAGGCCTTTCAAAGGCCTTATGCACAAATGTGATCCACACCTGCCATCATTTATTATAAAGTAAATGTCCACCTTTTTGCAAGATCTCTGGATTTTCTCTACTGTTCATTTACATTCTGCAGTGTTGGCTGGTTGCAGCTGAGAGGTTCTGAGGCTTGATACTTCAAGTTTTCCAGAGGATGAATGTTCTCCTGAATGCTCCTTTTACTTCTGCAAATGACCTCTACCAAGAAATACAGTGTGTTCAGACACGATCTATAATTAGCCCATCTGCCCTCTGTTGAAGACCACACTCCAGAGAACTTCCAAGGTCTGCAGATACCAGAGGACCTCACAAGGTAAATTATCCAGCTCTTCCAGGATGACAGCAAAGACAGAAAAGAAGCAGCATGGCCCTTAGGAAAAGTCTGACTCTTTAACAACTGGAACTGGTGGGGTTTTATGGTCAATTGGTTTATAAATAAAATGGAAATCTTTCTTGGTTTCGCTCTTCAGAAGGGAGGCTTTGATATGGTGTGGGAGGGCATCTTTGTCCAGCTGCAGACACTGGTCATCAACATAAACAAAGAGTCCATAGTCCTTGGGATGGGACACTTCAAACTTCTCGGCACACTGCTGGCTCAGCTGCTCAGCTGTGGTATCGCGACGGGAAGCAAGTGTCCTTGATTGACCACTGACTTCCAGAAAGGAGATACAGATGAAATCCTGAAGAGAAACATGAGGAGAGACCTTGCAGTTAACACAGTAACCCAGGACTGAAGGAGGAAGAATTCAGTCACAAAGCTCTAGTTGCCTAGAGCTCCCAGATATCCTCCAGTCATTCTCCAGTGTCCTAGTTATTCTCTCCTTTCTTCCCTCTGTCAGGCTCTGAATCAGCAAATACTTTAATAAGCATTTAACCAAATAATTAGCACCATAAAGACACCGAAGTTAAAGCACTTTTTTCTGATTTTACTGAGTATCCTTAGAGAATGATCTGCAATGGTTAATTCTTCCATCTTTTTACAGCTCCTGAAAAAAGGGTTTGCAAAGTGACAGACAAGAAAAACAGACCAGAAATGTCAGAAATCTGGCCTGAAAACCCCCTGTTTCCCAGAAGGGATAGGGCTAGCAGTGTGGTGGCCTTGCAGCTTCACAATCACCCAAACAGCATATTGAAAGTGTGTCCTCTGAACTTCCTTCCATCAGGAAGGAAATAGCAGAAGTTATGCTGAGAAGGCTGATTTACTTGTATCCTGTTTCAGGCAGTAACAACTGTTGTGACAGCTTTCATCTTGCCAAACACATAAGGAACAGACTCTAGAGAGCTTTTGGTCACAGTGGAACCTGTGTGTTTAATTTGCATCTGTGAACTCCAACACAAATCCCATTTTGTTCAGAAAATAATGAGGTTCCCTGGCAGAAGGGGAGTTTTCAAATGCATGGACTATGGGCTTCCAAACTACATTTACGGAGTACCACTGCAGTGGATTGAGGCAGGCAGAAGGATGGACAGAGGCCTGCTGAACATATCAGCAAGTGGTTTGGCTCTGCCAGAATGGGTTTTCATGTCTCTGATACTACCCCTCATTCAAAGGGGTGGAAAATGGCCCTTCAGCCATGGTGGGAATTTTCTGGGGAAATGTGTCATTTGCCTGCTCAGCTATTATGCTCCATGCTAGGTACATGAGCTACTGCTGCCAGAGCAGCACTCGGGCTGGATGGATATTTGCTGTATCTCAAACACCATTCATGGTTTCTGAGATCATCAGGGACTGGTTTGACTGCAATATGGGAAACCTGTTCAACTCCATGCTTTCACATGGACTGCTCTCCCCCACAGGAGACTTTTCCCTGGCTTTCCCCTCAGAATGCACAATTTTCAGTTCTGCACTGTGAAAGTGCTAGAGAATGTGAGACGTGGCCTTATGGACTGCTCTCCCCCACAGGAGACTTAGGAGACTTTTCCCTGGCTTTCCCCTCAGAATGCACAATTTTCAGTTCTGCACTGTTGCTAGAGAATGTGAGACGTGGCCTTTGCTGCCTCCCTGTGGGTGATAATTTGATCACAGCACATGGGGATGGAAGGGTACCCTGCCTACCTGGACCAGTCTCATCATGGCTGGAGGCCCAGAGCACTCATTTCTCTTGGGATCTTCTCCCACTGGTGCACGGGGAGATCTTTGCCAGACCATGCACAGCATGGGCTTCAAAACTGACCCAACCTTGATGGGTCTTTCTTGCTGTCAGACAGGCTCTGGAAGATGCTTGACTGACTGGTTATTGGGATGTCTTAGACCCCCCTACAGCTTTATGCCATCTAGAAGCAGCCCTGCACAGCCTGCTCACATCTCAGTTTAGCCCTTGATTTCCCCAGGCATTAAGGGAGATGATTAAGAGGGGCTTCTGAGTCCCCACCACAGCTCCCACAGGCTCCTAGCACACCTCCTTTAAGAATGATCAAAAAAATCACATTGCAGTTATATTTAAAACTACGATATTATAAGGGTACTTCAAGATTTCAAAATTTATTTCATAGGTAGTATGTATTTCAAATGTAGTGTGTTTTTTAAGATCTGGAAACCTTGCCCCAGATGTACTCTTTTTTTTAAAAATAGTGATTTCAATTAATTTAATTTAAAAGTAATTACCATATTGAAGATTTCTAAGTATGGAGAAAGCATGCGTGCTTTTCCCCTAGGATATAATGCTGGCTACCTGCACTGAGGAGCGGGAAGCCCGGGCCTTGTTCAGCGTTCTCCGTCGCTCCCAGCGGTGGATGGAGTCCTGAACCTCCATGCTCAGCTGCCGTGTCACAGTGATTTTGTCATAGTTCTTGATATGCTCCAGGACCCCGTAGGTGGTGGTTAAATAATAGGAGCCTGCAAAAGGTGACAGTCTTGGATGAATATCACACCTTCATGGGCCATTGGGTCCCGCTCCCACCCTGCCCGCCGGTGCTCACACGGGCAGTGTCTGACCCCTGTGCTGCCGGTGCCTTGCTGGAGGGAGCGCAGGGGTCACTGCTGCCAACCAGTGAAGGACACCCTGTGACCAGCGTCCTCCAGCCCTCCTGCTCCACAGCACTGCTGCTGCCCAGACTGCTGTAGATGTCCTGGGAGAGAACACAGGCTGGAAGGAAAGAGCTGTAAAAACTGCGTTCACAAACAAGCCCTAGCCACAGATGTTTATTCTTTGGGCCACAGCTGTCTTTTTGTTGTGTTTGATAGGGCTTGTGCAACAGGTGTGTAACCTGGGCTCCTGAGCAGTCCCCACAATGCAAGGAAATAGAAATAATAGTAGATTACTGCAAGAGAGGCACAAAGCCTGGATCCAGCCCCCAGCTCCAGCTACACTATTTACATGTTTGGATTTCAGGGCTCCTGTTGAGGGATGTCTCAGACCTGCAGGAACAAGTCATTCTCTGTTCGCTCCATTCTCTATTGGCCACGCAGCCATCCCAGGCGTTCACCTGTAATTCCTGGGCTGTTCAGGGCCGCGGCATAAATCTTTTTTTTATGCAGAGAAACAGGGCAGAGTGGCAAAGCCCCTTTCCCTCAGAACCCCGTGGCTGCTGTGGCGCTGCTTACAGCGGGAAATAAATGACCACCTGCAGCCACAGGGCGGCAGCTGGGCCCTGATTGAAGCCGGCTGCAGCCACAGCGCTGCGGGTCAGCCCCGACAAGGACAGACACTGCTGGGCTCTCAGGGCAGGCCCGAGGCAGGGCTGGTGAAGGGCTGGCTCCTCAGCTGGGGCCGGGGCAGAGTCAGCCGCGGAGCTGCGGGGCAGCGGCGGGGCCGTGGCCTGCTCCGGCCCGGGCCCGGTGCCCGGCAGTCGGGGACAGCTGACGGTGTTGCGGCGGAGTTTCACCCCGGCCGCAGTGCCTACAGATGGCACTCGCACACAGCCCATCCTCCGCAGCCGCTGCCCCCCCAGGCGCTGCCGAGCCCAAGGCTGGCTGCTCCAGGGAGGCAAAGACAGCGCTTGATTTAAGAGCAGTGTTTTTAGAGCACCATGAAAGTTTTCTGTAGGAGAGGAGAGACCAAGACACTGCCATTTGGCTTCCTGTGCTCTGGTGGATCGATAAGGAGTGTCCTACAGTTTTGAAGGTTTTTGCCCAAAACACTCATTTTTCTTGAATGTCTCCCACAAAGAGGTGCTAAGAATAGACTAAGAAGTCTAAAAGTACCACTTTTCTCCTCTTAAATATGGTTACCACCCTCCTTTTTCTGTCATTCAATATTTCTCCTCTTCTGGCTGAGTCAGAGGTAGCTGCGATAGGACTGGGAACAGGGTGTAATCCCTTCCCTCAGAACCCTGGGAGGAAGAGCTCTGAGTCCCCCACAACAGGAATTCATCACATCTTCTTTAAGAATTAAGTTTTTGCCCGCTTTCAATTTCTTAATTTCCATCCAGTTGTTCCCTACAATCTGTCCTTGCCTTGACTCCAGCATTCAGCATCACCATTGCTATTAAATTAATTCAAAGTGTATTTTCCATTTCGAGGCAAAACTGAAGTGATTTTGTATATTGATTTATGCAATTTCACAGTTTTTTCACTTCTGCTTTACTTCTTTCCTTTTGATTTCTGTACCTGAACACATTTTTCTATTCAACTTCGAAAGGCCTAACTCAAGTTAACTTTTGCCAGTTCTACACTTTGCTATCTCAGAGCTGTCTTCACTGAGGTGTTCTTTTTTGACCCCCATTCCTCATATTTGCAGTTACTCCTACTGTCCTTTCTGATGTGATTATTCAGTCAGTTTGATTTGGAACTCCCTCACAATTTTTTTCCCTTTTGACTGGAGTGCACATTTTACAAAATCTTTGCATCTTTGAGCTAAGAGAACTTCCAGCCAGCTTTGCTTTTGATATTCTGAGCTCCCCAGCCTAGATGACTTCAGTAACCAGCCTGGTAGTGTGCCCCTTTGGAATGTAGAACCTCTGTGCAGAGTAGTCACCAAAAGCAGCTTGGTTATGTCCACAAAATGCTGTCCTTCAGCTAACATTTTTTTTCTGCTAAGAATTCTTTTCAGCAGAAAAACTAGCCTGTGCAGAAACACCTTACTAATGTGCTGTATTGCTACTAATCATCCTATTAGTACTTTTGTACCACTCTGCACTGTGCTGGAATGACATGTTTAGTTTCAGACTTATATCCTCATTTAGTATAAATAAAATTAGTCTGCAGTTGTTCATCCAGGACTCCTTTCTAGAACCTCAGTACTTACCAAAGTAAAGTCTAAAATAAACCCCATTTTATTGGTTTAGTGACTACTTGGTAATAAATGATCTGTGTTCCTAATTCAGAGTGTGTAATTGTCACTTGGGAAGCATGTGCTTTCCAAGCTATATTTAAGAAACTAGAGACCCACTGGGGTATTTATCTTTTTGATAACAGAGGTCTTTAGTCACTTCCAAACTCAATATTCCTCTCTAACCTAACTTTATTTTCTCTGTCGTGCTATGATGCTCAGTCAGAGAACATTGTCAGAAGGTTCACTCAAATTTAGGAGTAGAGTGACCATGAGAATACAGCCCTCAGGCATACAAAGCAGTTTAAAAAAATGTGCTCTTTTCTCACTGGAATAAACAAAAGTATCTGCACGATTTTTTGCAGCAGCTGTTTAACTTTAGCAAAAACCTTCCAGCTTTTCAGCCTTTGGGCCAAGTAACACAAGATGTCTCTGTTTAGGTTGCTAATCCAGCACCTCAGTTATCATTTATGATGAGTCCCTGCCTTTCTAGCTTGTGTCTTAAGGCACTGCACTGCTAAAAGGAGTTAAAGTGCTTGGCAATAATTTTAGAGATTCATATTTGAAAAGATTGGCCGAAGTATTATGCACAAAATCTAGCCAGAGCCCTGCTGCCTCACTTTCACAAACACTGAAGTGAGACAAATGATGCTTTCCAAAGTGAGCAAATACTGTACCCTTACCTTCTCCTAGCTGCAGAGCAGGGTCCATGAGCTCCATCATATACTCCACATTCAGAAGGACTTCAGTCAAGTTGCTGCGGGCCAACACGTACATGAGCACTGGGAGGAAGTCATCTGCACCATAGGGCTTCCCTGGGCAAAGACAAACACAGTGTGGTCCCAATAACAGCAAAAAATTATGTTCCCACACAACAGTGTCAGATTCTCACACAGCGAGTCCTTTGCAGGCTTCAGCTTACGTTACCTGAAGAGTTACAGCTCAAAAGCACCAGCAAAAATGCTGAAACCAGAAACTTAGGTCACTTAAAAAGTAAGTAAACTTGCTTCAAGCCCAAAATAGGACCTTGAAAATTAACTGAAGAAATATAAACTTAGCTTCAAAACAAACAACTGGCAGTTTTTGAAGAGTGCAAAGGCTTCCATCTTGTCCCTTTGATTTGATACTGACATCAAGACTGCAGTTCAGGTTGGCAATATTAGTAGGGAAATTGTCTACATGCATTAGGGGTATTTATTCTCTTAGACTTACTCTATGTGTGATACAAAAAAACCAGAAAATAGTATTTGAGACAGTGGTTTTAGGACTGGGGACTTCCATGTTTATATCCCATCAGAAGGCAAAACGTCACACTACATGATCCTAATTAAAACAGTCACCCAAAAGCTAGGATCCAAGAGGAATAATCTTTCTAACTATGCTGTCTAGCTAGGAAAACAGAAAAATTTTTATACTGTACTTTAACCTAGTTTTTGAAATTGGTGTACAGCATATGCTCAGTATTTTTTGTGCTTAAAACATTCGTATCAGCTAAGTTAACAAAGTGATCTGATAGACAATCTGTAGTTGTTTGGGATCTCTAAGGACAAAAAAAGAGCATACTAAGTCACAATTATAAACAATTACTACTTAAAATAGAATCCAAACTGAAGCTTTCTTGCACAAACCACAAAGCACTCAAGGATAACTTTTTTCATTTGAAAGATACTTTCACTTTCAACCAACATGTCATAAAGTCATCATGGAAAACCCACAATAGCAAGTTTTTTACCAGACCAAACTTCAGAGTTGACCACTCCTCTTAACCTACTCTGTTTTCCTTCTGAATGTCCTTCCTCAGGCTTGGGGAGTTTTTTTCTCACCTCTGCAGTTGGATATGTTGGTTTTATGGACTATGTGTGTCTCACTTGAGAACTGCTTGTCTCAGCTCAAAGAATCAGAGCTACCCTCGATGTAGTTTTGGTGAAATTATGCTCTAGCCATTTTTGGCCCATAACACACATGCTCTTCCATGGTAGGGCATACATTCCTATTTCTCAAATGTTCCCACTGGCTTATTTCAAATATTTGCCATGAGTCAGATTTCTTTTTTTGTCATTCATAGCTGACGCAGATTCTCCACCAGCAAAGAAAGATATTCTTCTGAAGCCTCAAATAAACATGAGCTTAGCCCCTGATTTAAAAAAAAAAAAAGTGTGGCTTTGAAATAAACCCAGTAATACATCTAGTGAACAGAGAGTTGATCCATTTAAAACAAAGAGTTAGAGAATGAGAGATCATCAGGGCAGTAATTCAGTCTGTTTCTAAAAGAGCCCACACACGCCACAACAGACTATTTATTTAATGAAAGCTGGATTAACGCTTTCAATTCTGATTGCTTTGTTATGGTTGTCTTTAGTTAAAAGACACAGCTTTTGGTCTTCAACGAAACTCTAAATGGGCTTCATTGTTCCATTAACATCTATATGGACATTTTTTTGTCTGTTCTCTCGGTTTATGTCTCTGTGTAAGCTTTAGATCTGTGAAGGGTTTAATTCATTACTGTCATATACATTACCTTAATGCAATCAGATTAGTATTACAGATGCTTAATATTTTCCAGGGGAAAAAAAAAAGAAAAAAAGATGACAAAACTGAGACATGAAAATGTAACAAAATCTTCGCAGCAAAAAGCCCTATTCTTCTTTTTCTCCGAGTACACCAGAAGCCAACAGTTAGTTCTAATTCAGACTACCATAAAGGAATACAAAATACCAAAGATTTGTTAGGCTCATTTTTCCCTTCATTAAAAACTTCTCCTTTGTGATCTAGTAGTTACAGATCAGTGGCATGGATAGAATGATTCTAGTTTCCTTAAAGCCAAGGGATTTCCAGTGCAACACTAATAGCAGAATTTCCCTACTACTTCTCTTTCATGACTAATTCATATCATTTCTGATAAAGGCATCAAATAAAGTTGCTGCTTCACAATATCAATTCTTATTCACTGGAAAAAAAAAACCCCAAAACAAACCTGGGTTGTTTGTTTGTTGCTTGGTTTGTTGGTTGCTCGGTTGCTGGCTTTTTGGATGTCACCAAAGCAGATAATGAGCAGAGGACAGACTGACCAACTAATGCAGAATGGAAACAGCAGCTTAGAACTAAACAATTCCATGTCCCCATTTATCACCTTCTGGTGTCTGCAGAAGTGAATTTTAGAGGAAAATTCTCAAGAATGCCTACAGAATCTGTTCCTTTTTTGTTTTCTGAGAAGTGGTTGTATGTACAATCATGCATAAAGACAATTCTTTTTCGTGCTGTTTATCTCATTTCTATAAGCTGATTTAACTGCTCTGCCCTCCAGTCCTTGGTATAAACTCTTCTCAACTTTAAGACTTCATAGAAATGTTATTGGATTGCCAGCTGTTTATATGCCTTAAATATGAAAAGCTGATCTACAGAGTAATAATAAATGCTGAGCAGGGATGACTCAGGTCTGACTGAAATAATGGGAAGAACACATGTTCCATGTGCTGTATGCTCACAACCTGTGCAAATTACTAGACACCACATTAATCCACCTGTGGCTATATGTCACCCAATTTTAAATACCCACATCCGTAGCAAAAGCTGAAGTCAGCAGGAGCAGAATGTGTCAACAAGGGAAAAGCAAAACTAATCACCAGTGATCTATCTCTGACTCCATTTTGTGGTTTTTTGTGTTGCTGCAAACCTCCAGTGTGGCCAAGGGCAGGCCAGGCACGGTATATTGCACCTTGAAGGCATCTCAACATCTTCCCTCCACTGAGTGCTCATGGAGCCAAGGAGAAGTGCCTGAGAGAGCAGGACTCTGATTCTCCCCTGTTCTCCTGGCCCCTCCAGGTACAGGGACTAACTTTGATACGTATAGCCATCAGTCCAAACATGGCCCTGAGGTGCTCCGTATCTCAGTCCATCCATGGGGAAAATAGGTGCTGTCAGCAACTCAAATATGTGCAGAAACAGGAGTCTACAAAGACAGATGAAACAATGCCTATGAAACAAGATACCTGAGAGGTTGTTTCAGCACTGTATAACCCTCGTGGTTCCTGTGCCACTAACCAGTGTCCATCTGGGAGCTGCAGCAGAGGTTTTCTCTGCAGGCTGCTGCCTCCTCAGATCTCCTTTCAAGCTGAGCCTGAGCCAAATTCCTAGACCTGTATGGCTTGCTCCATCTGTGTTCTTTCACAGAGGAGAATTTTTGCAGCTGACAGAGTTAAATCTTGCTCTGACCCTGGCACTGCTCTCCGTGACAGTGAGACTGAGCTTGGCTGTTCAAGGTGGTGGTGTCCTACTCCAGATACGACTTGCTTGCTTTGTTTCCCCTTCTTCCCTGCAGGGCTAGGAAACATTTATTTCATAAATATCTCTAAGAAGCTTAAAATAAGCCTTCTCTTCTGCCACAAACTCATCCTATTATGTTTATAGCAAAGCAAGTACAACGTCAGCTCCTGGCTGGGATGCAGCACTTGAATAGATGAGTATTAATTAAATACATGATTTAAAGCAACTGGAATTCTGCCCAAGCCTCCATAAAGAAATTACAGCCTATTTTAACACATTCATGCATTTCTTTTCTCTCTGGGTATATTCTGAAAACCAGCAGATAGGGATGATGCCCTGTACCTTGCTCTAATATTTTACAAACATTAGCTTGATGTCTGGAAGCAGATCTCCACAAAATATGAATTTTAGCCTCAATTTGAAGTTGGGAAACCAGAGGTGCAGGAAGGCTAACTGGGATTTGTTCAAGATCATAAGAAAAGATTGTGACTTTCCTTCCACACACTAGCATTTGCTGTCTCTTGTCTATCCTATACTACTTTCAGCAAGGTTTAATTTGTGATATAGTGAATTAAGTGAGTTAATAGATGCAGCTGGCATGAATTCACTTCAAAAATGTGTGGTTTAGAGATCAGAGGAATTCAGTCCCCATGAAAAATTTGAACTGGCTCTTTGATTCAAATGTAGAAATTGTGCTAGATGGCAGAAACCCCAAAATCTCTAGTCCATCAGTCTTTGTTAAAAGTAACTTAAATACAATATCCTCTTCCAAAAGATATCAAAGTAAACCTGTTATGTATAGCTTTATTTTCCTTCTCAGAAGTGAGATATGATAATAAGCAATGTAATGGGATTGCTCTGACAGCTTTAGGAGCTTCTAGCATGGGCTCTTCACTGGCTGCTGAAGTATTGGACTCCAGTTTCCTTTCTACAAGCTCAGCTATCCCACTAAAGACGCAGCTTTGCTTTTGCCAGCTGCAGAGCCTTATAGGAATTATTAGGGCAGTTAATATCTGGCTGCTCAGTTCTGTGGGGGTGACAAACTTCATTCTAAAAGCCAAGGAAGAGAAATATTCCAATGGAATATATGTCCTATCTATCCTCTTTTTCCAAAAGCAGACTATGCACATTATCCATGTAAAACTATGCAATAGAAATTATTGGCAGATGTTTTGATCACCTAGACAATTCCATAACTAGTACAAACTATAGTTTTGAACTATATAGTCCAGCTGCCTGTGCAGTTCAAAGATAGTCCAAAAGTGAAGCTTCATAATCTTAGGTAGCTCACAAGTTAGAAATGTTGCAGTAAGAAAATTGTGCCTCCATTCTTCTTCAATCTTCTTTGAAAGCAGTCTGCCCATCTTTCAAACTTCCAGCCTAAACTTAGAGCTTTTCCATCCCTGATCTTCCTCACTCATGGACTGACCAAATTTGGCCTGTTTGTCTCACAGACTGTCTCCATAAACCAATGCTTATTGCTGCTTTGTTTTTCCATCAGTTCTCTTCCACAGTGGCAGCTCCCAGGCAGGACAAGGCTGGGTGACCCAGGCACAACACTGCCAGTACACACCACCTGTATTGCAGATTTGCATTGTTTCTCACTCTACAGGTGTCACTTGTGTTTTTGATGACAGGCAGAGATTCTCATTCTACCCATATCACACAATATACCTTTAATCTTTTGCCTGAGTAAAGGTGTTTCTGAAATACACATAATATGCATTTTTTTTCTACATGACATTACTGTGTTTCCACATAAATTGGCTATGTGCCCAGCTGTCCCTGTGTATATTGCAGCATCCCTTCCAAATGTAAGACCTCCATGATTCCTGCCTCTTATTTTTTCTAGTGCTAAAAAGAAATGCCAGCCATTTTGTGGAGCGTGGGTTTCCAAACTCTATTTTTTAAAACGCATTTTGTTCTTACTAATCATTTCTAGTATTTTTAGCGGGCAGGTGACATATTTTCACATTGTCGGTTATATTCTTGGAGGCATATGTTTCAGTTATTTCAGTTTGCATAGAAGCTGGAGAAGCTCAGTGAGACACCTCAATACTGTCATAATTGTGCCTTTGGTGAGGATTCACTTACTAATATCACTGCCTACATAGTACATATGAGTATCTGAACCAGGGCCGCTTAATTTCTTTGATAGCCAGTAATGAATTAATCAATATTGTCACTGGAGTGTGCCTTGAGTCATCTTGCTCTGAAGCAGAAACCGATATGCAGCCAGATGAATCATCTTGACTCCACGGACTGACTCCACAGTGTGTGTGATGGGAAGCTGGGCATGGTACCCCTCTGTGGCCACCTACAGCAAGATGTAGCCAGAGATTGGTCCTGCTTCAACTCTATCATGGAGCTGTGCTCAGTGGGCTCTTGAGAGAAAGGTGTATGACTAAGACTGTGAAGTTGCCTTCCTGATTCCTTGTGATGAATCACTTCCACAAGCTGATTGCCTTCATCTTGAGGAAGAAATGCTGGTTGAAACCAGTTCAGGGTCTGACCCATTCAGTTCGTAGTCTTAAGTATCAGGAATTTCAACCACAACCTATTTATCAGGGAGATTTTGTCATGTAATATGAATTGTAATCAAACCAAAGACCTCCTCCTTTCTTAAAATGTCTTGATATACATGGAGTCAGTCAAGGCAGATTTTAAAGTTTTATGACTCTTTCAGCATGGCAAAGATGGGCACCACCCCAGGTACAGATGTTCCTGAATATGCCTGTCCTTAGTTTTAAAGGAAACTTTGTACCTCTTGGGGCATCCTGGCCAAACCTTGAGTGATGTACATGGGTCTCAAAATGTTAAAAAAATTTGTATTTTCATATGTGTCAGAGGAGAACAGGTGCTTCATTACATGGTGTTGGCATTTTGCTTTGAGAAATGAAACCATATTCTTAGGTCAGCTTATCCTATGGCCAGCCTAAAGTGAATAAAATCTAGTCTGAGCTGACAAATTGCAAATTAAGTCAGACAACACAAGGAGTTTCCATGTTATTGAACAGATAATGCTTCTGACAGAGGTAGGCTGATTTTGGTCCTGTAGCAGAGGGAATGATTTGTTTTCTGTTTCACTTGCTTTGCTCTTGGAAAAGGAGGGACCTTTCTAATTGACCAGTTAGGAAAAGGAGCAAAAAGGAGAAGAAGCTATTGCACAGGAAGCTGAGCATAGCCTCTGCTCTTCCTGTGTGAAGAACATTGTGCTGCCTCATGGCTGGCTAAAAGCAAAAGGGGCCCTGTGCTGTTGCTCTTGAGGTGGGCAGAGAACAGAAGGAGAATTCCCACCTGCTGAAATCTGCTCTGAGCACCCCACAGCACACTCTTCTGCATGCCACCTGCTGCAATTCCCTGTCAGAAAAATATTCCAGGTTGCTGAAATATTTCAGGTTCCAGTCTTTGCCACTGGAAAATGAAAGTGGTCTGGGTTCAGTTCATTCTGTGGAAGAGGTTTCACACATTTTGCATCTAACTCTACAGGGCATTTCACTCAATTACTCTCCAAGTCTGCTGTTTTCCAGGAGTTAGATACAGCATTCTTCTCCCCTTAGCTTCTTCTTCAGGTCTGAATTCAATGGGGTACATTTCTATAATTCCAGGCCAGTTTTCTTCTGGCCAAGCCCTGATATACATCACTGATCATGTATAAGGGAGAGGGAACTCAATATAAGGCAGAGGGAACTGGATGCACAGGGGTGAAATCAGCTTCCAACCTACACCCTGCTGAGTAGTACTCAGCATGAGAAAACAGCTCAACTGGCTGAAATGCACTGCTTTGGTTAGTGTAGCAAACCACACTGAAACCATCTAATTTCATGAATATCAATATTTTAAACATGTAGGGGTTTTGTAATTATTTCCCTGACTCCTCATTTCTGTTATAGAAAGTGACATGACAGTATTTCCTTCAACAGAGAAATTCCAGCCCTGAGCTAACTAAGGTGTGATGTATACGTAACATACCACCAGCATCAGAAGGAGACCATGTGGGTTTCAATGAGGCTTGCAAGTCCTTGATCTAAACCAAATTTATTCTCAAACTCCACACAACTATTTTAACAAAATTACAGCAAATTCCCCTACATATGTCTAAATCTCATAATACCTGAAGACAGTGAGAGGTCCTTTCCACCCTGTAGCTAAGGCTCAGCCCTGGGGTGGTTTCTTGCTCTGCTGTTAATGTGTCTAGACTGGTCGCTGAACCTTGCTGCTTACTATCCAAGAGATCACCTTGAAGTGAGGCTCAGCAGGGACATAACAATCCCTGTATGAATGCTCCAAGGCTGTTGCCAGTACAAAATAAAGCAGAAGAGCTAAAAGCACCTTTGGTGACTGTGAGCTCTTGAACAACCACAGGTTATTGCAAGTTAATACCTGGCTTCTCTCCAGATTCAGGCATGGCTGGTCATCAGCTCACATTATACAAGAGAAGCTCTTAAACTGGCAAGGCAAATTGCTGGAGGAAGGGACTTGCTGGTCTATCTGCAAAGATGCATCCTGTCTGCAAGCCAAGGGTTTAATTTCTGCATTAGTGGTTGGCCTGAGGCCCATGTTATGTTTATACTCAGAGCACATACTGCCTTGCACAGAATTTTAGAATTTACTGGAGCATCAGGAATTAGTAACAAACTACTAGCACTCTGCATCTCCTCCTCAGTTTAGGCAAAACTCAGTAAAGGCCAAATCAAGAGCCTTTTACCAGAGACCCATTCCTAGAATTTACCATTACTCCGCAGCAAGCTGGGACAGAGCCCTGAGGATATTTGGAGAGCTGTGTGAAGACCTGTGCAAAAAGGATATTATCCATAAAACACACACAGGTAACTAGTTTTTGGACTTATGGAGCTTAAAGTTAACCAGGTAACATCCAGTCATTAGTGCAGAGAACTTCACTAACCATTCAATTCTGAGCACAACCTGTGGCCATCTGATAGCAAACACATCAGCCATCACTGCTACCACCAATGTGAATATTGCCATGCCAGCTGTATCATAAACGCTGTTCCTTTGATACAAGGAGAAAGACCCATGGTGGATGCCATTGCAGCAGGAGTCCTGTACCTGGATTTCCCTGAGCCATGGAGTCATAGATGAGTTTGCAGGTCTTCAGCAAGATGGCAATTTTCTTTTGTGGAGAGTAGGTCTTGTGCATGGTCGTGAACTTGTGAAGGATCTTTTCCAGCACAGCAGTTTCAGGCACACTGGTTGTGACACCCAGGTCAGTGGTAGTTGTGTTTTGTATCACAAGTTGGTTCTCTTTCAGCTGCTGTAAAGATCCATCTTTGCTGTGTATTTCTTTTAAGGAAGAATTAATGGCTTCCTTTAAAGGTTTCAGGACACATTTGTACAGAGCTGTCTCAGCAATCACTTCTGCATAGAGAAGGAAGAACACAAAAACATATAATAAATAAGCAATACAGTAGTACAGGTGCAAGTAAAAGTCCTAAGGAAGCATGAGGTTGGTTATTCAAACACTACTACATAGCTGTGAGAAGGGAACAGAAATCACATCCCAGAAAGTAAACATTTCATTACCAACACTATCCAGAAGTCCTAGATGGGCTTGAGATGAACATCAGTGTGTGGTCTCTGTCACTGGAGCAGTAGGAGACTCCTGCTACCAGCAGTCCCTGCTCTCTTTGCCTGACTTCTGGCTGACCAGCATGGCATTGCCGGGCAGCAGGAAAGCCAGCTCTGGGGAAAGAAGAGGAATCTCACCTAACTGTGATTTTTTTTCACAGCTCTGCCCTTACAGATGCCCAGATGCAATTCACCTCATGTTCCTTCTGACCTCTCCTTCTGACTTGTTCGAGATATTCACTTTGGGATGCAATTAATTGCACCCTCAAAACACCCCTTTCTTTCCTCAAAGCAGCTGCATGCACCAGCTCAAAGACAGAAACCAATATCTGGTCAGAAGTTTCTCATTGTTGCTGCTCAAGGGACTCTAAATTACTGATCCTATAAGACACCTCTTATGCCACCTGTGGAGGAGGAAATAGTATGAGTGGGTGGAATTTGCTTAATGTTTGGCTGAAGATGAAAAGACACATAAGAGACTGTGAGGAAGCCTGTTGTCTGAATCCTAGAAACCAGAGGCAGAGCTAGAGGAACTGCAAGAGATTCTCTTGTTGCAGAGGCAAAAAGGTCATTGGCAAAAGGGTTCATCTGCTCAGGCAGTGGGGGATGAACCAGTGTCTTACTCAGGCAGTAATATTTATGTATTCAAAATGCAACTATTTTAAAGAATCCAGAGAGCCAATCAGCCTGAAGCAGGGCAAATTCAAGTGGTAAATCCTCCAGTGGGAATCCTTGTTCTCCACAGAAGAAGACAGCCCTGTCAAGGTTGACTGGGCTACATCATCCTGTTAAGGAACTGTCAGTGAACAGGGTTAGATACAGGGTCAAAAGGCATGTCCGTGGGAAGGTGGTGGGATACTTGCACACATACAGCTCTACCAAGCAGAGCAAGGACACTTCTTTCCTCCCCCTTTTCACTTTCACTAATCAAGATTCAAGACAGACTTGTCTGTGCTGCCCCCACACTCCCCACCTTGAAGAAAGAGGTTATTAGGGCAAAGATTGAAGGTGTTACACAAGATGCATGAGAAGTGAAACTGCAGGTTCCCTCTCTATGCTATGGCAGGGGCTGGCTGCACGTCTGCTGGGGACCTGCAGGATCACACTCAGCCTTTGCTGGGGGAGAAGGAAATCAGCAGAGCCTGCTGAGACTGACACTGGACAATCTTTTACTCTTGGCTCACCACTTAGCTTAGTCCCACCTAATACTGGAGCTGCAGGATCTCCTGGAATCCCTGGTCACTCCTGTGGTTCACTCCATATTCTGGGTCTTCCAGCTCCCAGCTTGTTTTAAGCCAACTTAAGGATCCACAAGTAGCTCTGCACTGGTTTTCAGGTCCTCAAGAAACAGTTTGAAGCTTTCAAAGGACAGTGTGTGCATGTGCATGCACGCTTGTTCTGGCTGGAAAGCTTTCACTGGGATGAAAAGTCCTACAGGTCTTTTTATATTCTCTCATGGATATACATTAAACAGACCAGTCCAATCCTTAGCAAGGAAAGAAGTAGCACATTATTCCCTCACAGGATATGAATGAGAAGCAATGAAACACTTTGTAAACAGTTAAAAATAATATTTTTTTCTCCCCAAAGGCAAATTATACCTATGGCAAAGAGGTGAACGCTTTTGGAGCTGGCAGTAGTCTTGCAACAGACATTTATTCTGTACCTTTGAGGTATGAGGAGCACAAAGAGGAATCAAGGGATTCCTCCAACCTGCCACTCAGAGTCCTCCTAGTCTAGTCCCTCCCTGTGACAGTGATTGACCTCTAAGGTGTATGCCTCATGCAGGGAGTTCTCCATCCTTGTAGCAAAGCAGCAGATGTGGAAGGCCACAGGAATGCAGCTGTGAAGGGGAAAGTTTGCCTTTTGTGTTTCCAGTGAATTCTTCTCTGTGTGCAAACCCAAATACACACACACACAAACACATATACAGCTACATAAACACACACACACATATATATACACACATACATGTATGTCTCTCATACACACAAACACATGTCTCTTTTGCTTAAACTCTTCCCTTTAAAACATTCATAAAGGGATTTTCCCCTTCATTGGTATCCAGATTTTTGAGTTGTTCCTCCAAGTGCTGGCAAACACAGCGCAGACTTCAATTTATGCTGCTCGAGTTTTAGGAGATGGTTTATAATTCTGTAAAGCAGAGCCTGTGTCTGCATAATTCTTTCTCCCTCCTCACTTTCCTAAACCATGCCCAAGGATGAATAAACCACAGGTACCTACCTAACTGTTCCTCGGTGTAGGAGGCTGGGTCTATCAGAGATTTCAACTCAGTGCTCTGCACTAAGTAACTCTTCAGCTGCGTCATCATCAGCCGGATCTCTTGTAGCATCTCTGTGCTGGAGCTCTGCTTTGCCATCGTCTCTAAACTGTACACTCTGTAGTCCCGCACCAGGTTGCCAAAGTATGACTCCTTGTCCTGTGCCAGCTCCACTATCTTCTTCTGCAGCTTCCTGTCACTAGACAAAAAGACTGTGAAGACGTTGGACAGGTTCACCAAGGACAGCCTGTTTTTGGCCTTGGCCAAGATCACGGAGCGTGTCTTTTTACCAGATGAACTACTCAGCATCTCCAGGTCATCCTCTGTGCTGCTGGTGGAGTAGGAGTCTGGCTCGGATGTTGATGCCTGAGCCACGGTGCTGCCTCCCAGGTCCTCCAGGGACAAGTGTGACCCTTCCAGCTCAGATTTGTGGCCATGTCCTGGTTCAGTCTTGGTGTGTGTGCAAGTGGCACCACCCGTCACTGTAGCTGGGCTGCCCTTGCACACAGCCTGCTCTGTGGCCACGGCCGTCTCTCCCGCTGTTCTTTGCTTCGGCTGGCAGGAGCTGGGGTTCCTTGGTACCTGGGAAATTCTCTTCCTTCTTGGTGGTGGGATAGGAGGCGACTTTCCCTTCTCAGTGGCATTGCTTTGTATCTTAGGCATGTCCTCCTTCTCTGCAGCTTCAGGCTTTGTCTCCTGAAACTGTGATACAGCCTTTTTGGGAACCTCCCCAGGCACCTCTACAGCCTTTTTGCACAGCAGTGTTTTATCTCTGCTCTCTCGACTTGTATCTTGGTTTTCTTCTGTTCCTTCCCCTTTCAGTGTTTCACAATTTTCAAGATTACCCACACAGCTCTCCTCTGAGGTCCTCTCACTCAGCCGCCTCCGTGGGGGAGCAGAGGGTTGGGAGCCCTTCTTGGGGCTCCCTGCCAAGGGCGCATTGGCCAGGCAGCTCTGCTTCCTTTCTTCTTTATCATCACCGCTCTCAATTTTCATTTCCTCGAAGCTCTTTCCTAGTGGCTTAATAAGTAGCTTGTTTTCTTCACAGGCAGTCATGGGGTCCTGTGGGAGCTTCAGGGAAGATTTCTGAATGAGAGCATGAGAAGGTGGAGGGGGAGGAGGCCGTCGAAGAGACCTCCTTTCAGTAATCATGGTGGCAGGGGGGAGTTCAGTGCTCCCAGAGTGGCCTTTAGGAGAAGATACATCTGGAGGACAAGGATTACTGCACTCTTCTATAAAAATAGGATTCACAAACCACAGCCTGTCATTTCCTATTGACAGCTCAATTTCACATGAGCAGTGGTTTGTGCTACTTGCAAAACACTGGGTAGATCTTAAACTGTCTGCCTGGGCAGTGCTCAAAGCAGTGTCTTTTGCAGGGTGGGATAAGTCCTGCCTTCTGTGGTTTAAGTAGGAATCCCAGAAATCTGTCAAAAAAGAAAAAAAAAGGACAAATAAAAATGAAAAAAATCTGAGAGAATTTTAGCTGCTAATGATATGTAGAAGATATATTTATTGTTAAGATAAATGGCACACAAATTTCAATGTCGAACTTTCAAACCTCTGCACAAAACTGTGTGATGAAGAAAGAGTTACCTCTTTTATGCATATTAAATTCTTCAAGCCAGGGGATAAGCTCAGAAGCTTCAGCAGAATTCTCTCCCCTCTCAGTTTTAGGACTCTTATCTAGTGAAAGTTGTTCAGCATTTTCAGTACGAACAGGAAGGTACAAGTAACAAATGATTGTGAGAAGGGATCAGGAAACAGGATCCAGCAAACCTCATATGTTCTGACCAAGGAAAATGGATAAACCTCTGAGGGTACTCACTGGATGAGAACTGTATAGATGTCCATAGTTAGGGATAAGGGGAAGATGGGAAATCGTGGAAACACAAGGATGCAGACAACTAAATAACGATTTCAGCATGCTTGGTCCCTGAAACAGAGCTGACACTGGTGGCATACTTTTCTATGTGGACTTCAGGGGACACAATGGGGCTGCCACACAATGCCTGAACCCTGCCTAGTGCTTGGTGTCATTGCCAAAATCTCGCATGCTGGGCCCAAGACAGGATGGATGGAGCTGCACACATATGGGATGACTCTCAGTGCTGAGCATGGGTACAGCTCTCAGGTCAAGAGGTGAGCTAAAAGACAGTCTATTCCCATCAGGATAAAATTGCCTATTTAGCTTCTCGCAGCCTAGGCTAGTGTCCATGGCAAATTCAACTTTATAAGCATGTCAGCACGTTATCTTAGGGTGATAGACATTAGAACAGCTTTATTCTCTTATTTCTTACTGTGAGAGGGAGGAGAACAAAGAAGCTTAAACTAGTAGTGTTGCTAGGAACAACAGCACTCTTAACCACAGAATTTGGGAGAAGACATGCAGATGCAACTGCAAGTACTAACACCATGCTGCCAACCTCCTCACATCTGAGACTGTTTGGGGTGCCATTTTCCTTAAGCTCTCCAGCTGTACTCGATATCAGCAAATGCAGGACAGAGGAAGTTGTTTTAAGTCAGAATATAATGCTGTGAAGTCTCATGGGCTGAGGAAATGGTGAGTAAACCAATCTACAGAGGGGAAGTTGATCAGTTTTCTCAGTAGTGGTCAGGATAAGGCACTGTGATGAAAATGCAAAGCTGCACACGGGCTGGGAAGGAACAGATGATGTGGTTCTACCAAGTAACACAGCTACTTCAGAGCAGGCATTTCCCAGCACAGCCACACTGTCTCACACTGCAGAGAAGGCCGTTTGATCATCTCCCATTGCTGTCCTGGATCTTCCCTTATCTTGCACGCTGGGAGGAATAATTAAGGAGTTCTTGGAGTCTTTGGCGTGTCTGTGATGGTATGTGCTCTTTGTGCAGTGCAATTATGCTAATTCTCCTCCTAAAAGAACTTCTGTACCAGTGAGATCAGGACTGGAGGGCATGCAGTAGATCCTCTATAACAACATACAGAACAGCCAGATCCTTTGTGGAACAATTCAGGTTGCAGATAGACATCTTACTTCTATCCCCTTGAAACACATATTACTTTGAAATAAATATAAAGCAACATATGAGAATTTCAGACAATGCTCTGTTTCTTTCGGAAGTGCCACTTTGGGCAGCACTTAATAGTTTGTGCTCCCATTTGTATCCACAAAATTTTGTTCCAGGAAGCAATAAACAGCATCTGTCAGTAGCTGAGCCTGTTGACTCTAAGACAGCATGGCACTTCAGGAAGCTAACACCATTTCCCAGGAAGACTGCCTACAACAGCAGGTTTTCTTCCATTGTCAGAAACTTGACCAGTATGAAATACACCATGACAAATAAATTTACAAGCCTCACTACTTTTATGACCACCAGTACAGGAGAAAAGGAAGAAGACTACAACCAATATTGTTTTGGTGCTTGTGCTTTAACTAACCTCTTCTTTCAGATGTTGCTGGAAACTGTTGCCTGAATCAAGATAGCCTCTGCTGGCTCAGATTAGACTGAAGGTTGCAGATTCATGATACACTTCCTACATTTTAATCCAAAGTTTTAGACTTATTATAAAAAATGTCTGGACATGTACGTAAGAGGATGCTTTGACAAATTGGAACATACTCAAAATAGAGGATGCTGAAAGTGTTAGAGGCAAATCTGTTGATGATATTCAACAAAGCTGCCTGAACTGAAACCAGTGGGGTTTACCCATGCTTTCTGGGAGGAAGAGGAGCCAAAAATAGTGAGAGTGCTCTAATAAATATCTCTAGATGAGCTAACTCTTCAATTTTCTCCGTTGTTTGGCTGTTTTCAACACCTGAAGGAAAACTGAAAAACCAAGGAGCATGAAAGTGGCTTACTGAAGTAGCTGTCTCAAGTGGAGTGTGTTAAATGAAAAGGAATAGAAAGGAGAGCTCCTTTAGTTCACAGAATTGCTTTTCCTATCTGTGACTTTATACATCTCATCTAAAATTTGCTTGTTTGGTGCTGTCACTAAAAATAATGTTCCTTTTGCATGTGATTTGTGTGAGGTGAGAGAACATGTTGGGACGATACATATTTCTCTACCAACTAGAAATCCTGCAAGAGCAAGCAGAAATATCAAAACTCAAAAATATCACACTTTCATCAGCATTGCCCCCACACATCAGAAGGAGAAGTTGCAAAGGTGTTTTCCCTGCAGCAGAGATATGAGCCACTTCCAAAGTGTAGAGTTATCCCGAGAGGCTGTGCTGCACTTCAGCTTACCCAGACTGTAGGGACCACACCCTGGACAGAGATCCAGGTAGAGGTTTATGGTCAAAGGGGCAAGTGCCCTTTTTGTCAGCATTCTGCTATGAACATAAAGATCATAAACATCTTCCCCTTGCATTCAGACCTCTTTGGCTATTCCAAAGACAATAGTTAATCTATCTTCCAGTTGCATTATGTCTCTGCAAGGCACTGTTGTTCTCACGAGTCCAAGTGAAAATCTGACTGCTTTGAGGGACTTACCTATCCCCAGACTAGAGATAATTTCAAGGTCTTGAAAGCTACTGGCTTCTAATATTGCTTGTGGCAACTTCAGGGTAAAGGGCAGCAAATCCCTGTAGAAGCAAACACAATGAAAAAATATCAAGAGGACAAACCCCACAATTGTTAGGAACTCCAGATTTCACTTGGTTTTACTGATTGGATTGGCTCACAATCTCAGCTGTATTCTGTGGCTAGTAAGGAATTATGGACCTTGTGCCAGACTGGGTTGCTCTGATTTCACAAAAGATCACCAGCTTCTGTGGTGATGCTTCATGCCATAGCACTGACTTAATCACTGTGTCTTGGCTCTGTCCTCTGAAAAGAGCAGGAATACCTCTCACCTCAGGGAAGGCCACAAGGGTTGAAATATCTTCCCATTAAAAGTGAGGTGCTACAAATTGTATTTATTTTTATTAGAAAAGCCAATCTTTTTCATGTGGAAAGGATTTGAAGCCCTTTTTCTTTCTGTTTACCCCTCTCTCACTACCCTGCTTCCTCTTTTAAAAGTCTCTGTAAGTAAGGCGTGGGCACACAGCAAGGCACAGAGGGATTGGGAGAGGAAAGCCCCACCTAGGGAAGGGTAACCCCTGGGTGAAGGGACAGACAGTGAGGAAGTGCTGCATGACACTGAGAAAACACATATCCCTCTAACTCTCTACTCTCAGACTTCTGAGTACTTGGTTTCTGGAAAGATGCTGTACTTCTACTGAAAAAAAAAAAAAGAAAGTTTCTCAGAGGATGTTGGCTGGGTTTCACTGAAACACACCCTAAATCTCAAGCAATTTAACTGAGCCCTTGTTCTGCCACTGAACTGTTCAGGTTTGCCTCTTGCCCAGTGACAATCTGCTAACCCTGTTCTTGCCTCAATTCCCATTCTAACAAGGACTAGAAAAGCCAGTCCCTAAATGATAACAAGGAATGGTGCAGGATCACCTTACACGTAAAAAGTTTTACAAAATGTTCTATAAGGTATAGAAAAAACAGACCTTGTGAGTAGGAGGTCTCTGCTAAACAAATGCACACCCAAAAAAGCAGACGACTGCAGACCTATCTGTTGACAGATGAATGCAGGGGGCCCATTTCTGACCTTTTTAGCAGATGCATACCTTACTGATGTTTTGTGTTCTCCATGGGTTCTCTGTGCACTGCTGAGTGCTCTGTTGTCACACTCACATAAACTGATGTGATCCCTGCCTTATTATTTTTTCATGGCAGATATGAAGTTTAGAAGATGAAGAGGAAGAGGGTCCATGTACGTTCTGCTTTGTTATTTTATATGCATGAATAGTTCCCTTCTTTTTCTTTTTTTTAACATATTAAGATCAGGAAATATTAGGACATTGCCCTAATAGGAAAAAATCGGTTTTATTAATGGGGCAGCAGCTTACAGGCCAGCCACCAAGTCACCTGTTACCTACAGGCAGGTAATATATCCAGGCCAAAGGTTTTTTTGAGATGAGCCTGTCAGCCCTGAAAAGCTGTTTCCAGGTATTCACAGACAATTTACTACATCCCTGTTCTCAGGGCTCTACAGTCACCATCACAGAGAGCTCCTATGAGCTGCCAGCAAATGGTAGGTCAGTGTCTTTTTATTACCTGCTTCTCTCAGAAAATTATTCCCTTTTTATCTTGTCTTTTGACAGTAGCCTGCAAAATCACATGAACCATCTGAATGTGTATTTGACACTAAGAAATAACATCTCTAACAGAAGCCTTGTGAAGGCTGACCTAGAACAGAGGCTAGACAGAGTTAAAGAACAGAAATAACATCTCTAACAGGAGCTGAACTGATGCCTTGTGAAGGCTGACCTAGAACAGAGGCTAGACAGAGTTAAAGAATAAAGTAGGGATTTATTAAAAGGCCTTAATGGATACACCTTGGACAGTACAAGATCCTAGCCAGGGCCATACCCAAGATGAACCCAAAATGGTCACAAAATGGACATGGTCACGAGATCTTTCACTTTTAAAAGTTTTGGTTCATTAGCATATTGCAGTTAATTGTCCAGTTACAACTTTAGGTTATGAAGTCACATGCCTCTTGTTTTTCTCTCTTCAGTCCACACTGTTTATGCTCTTGGGCCTGAAATTTGGGTTGGTTGTCCTTGGTTCCAAGAAAAAGGAAAGGAATTGTTTTGTCTAGCTCCTCTGTGAAGAGAGCTTACCATCCCTTAATATGAAGCTCAGAACTACACACTACAGCAGTACAGAATCTGAAAAATATAAAAGCTAAAACATAAGGCATCAAATAGAAGAACTTTTCTTTCTTTCTCTTTCTTTCTTTCTTTCTTTCTTTCTTTCTTTCTTTCTTTCCTTTTTCTTTCTTTTCTCTCACCATGATCCTTTTTGCAGGAAAGCAGAAGTGAGCATATTTTCTCTGTTACCAGCCACTTACTAGGAATGCCCAATTCTATTTTGCATGTGGGCTGTTCTTTGCTTTAGTGAGAAAGGAATCTTTATATGGGTCCAGGGTTTAACTTATGTCTATTGTATAGGGTCTATATACATCTAGATGGTTAAATGTCTATTAAGTGTGAGGTGGAGCATGGTTTATTGTGTGCAGGTAGGAGTTGTGGCTCAGTAGTGCTGAACTCAGCTGGCTGCAGGAGTAACCCCCAGAACAGTGGGGGACTGGCTGGAAAAGCTGTAGCACACTGAATCCTACCCCAGACAAACTGTTCCTATTGTGTGACCTAGCCAAGTGACTGATGTGACTGCCTTGTAAGCATATCCTGAATCTGCTTTCTCCTCTTAAAAGGAAATAACTGCTTTAAGAGTCATGTAAGTTTATATAGGGGAAGTCAAAAGTCTACAAGCAGCTCACAACCGGGCCTGCTGCAGTAGGGGCAGGGTAAGTAGGTGGAGGTATTGCTGCAGTGTGCTAAGCACGAGGACACAGATTAGAGAAGGCTGCAGACATCATCATGTGGTGATCAAACCTTGCACTAGTGAAAATGACATTACAGGTCTCTTCCATCTCTGTACCCATTATTACTGGTATTTCTGTGCTGAGCAAACAAATGCTTTGTTTTAATTTCGAATTTTACCTAAAGAAAAGACATTGTCTCAGGACTACTTTCCTTGACAGATTCCCCATAGACTAAGCACTTTGAGTTGCCAACAGGCAACAGTGCATTAGTAGGTTTGTCAAGTTGCTACTCTGTGTGTGTTTGTGTGTGTGTGTGTATGCTTAAAACTTTAAAGAAATAGTTAATTCAGGGCCCTTCTTCCTCCCTGCCCCCTCCCCCAGCCTCAGTTCTGTGCCTTTGTTCTTTGTGGAAGCAGCCCTATGGACAAAGCTGCAGGGACAGCTGTGTTTGTGGGGTGAACTGGCTCCATTGTAGATACAAGCATCTGAAATACCTTCTGGTCTGTCAGGCTGGAGGGTAGCAGAGGAAACAGAGGGGTCTGTGCTGGGACTGGGGACTGGGGAAGGGCAGACCAGAGGGGAGGGCAAAATGAAGAAGAAGAAATGTGCCATGGAAGAAATGAATGCAACTCACCTGCTGACACAGTAGAAGGCAACCAGTTTGAAAACATCCTCAAATACAAGGACAGATCCTTCCAGGTACAGGACTGGTGAAAAACAGAAAAGACAGTCAGCAGCTGATTTCTTTGAGCTATAAGATAAAAAAACAAAACAGGTAGGTTTGGCAGGCACATCTTGTGTTCTGTGACAGTCCAGTAATTGCATGGACTAATATGATGAAGCATAAAGACCCGGCTTCAGGTGGCCAAATGCAACATGATTCTTCAGGGAGACACTAGAGAAGAAATAGCCTGGCTTTCTGAAAACTTAGCTCAAAATATCCAAGTGTTGTGACACTAACGGAAACAATGGGAAGAAAGAAACCTCCCAGCTCACTTCCAAAGGGATCGTTACAAGCCCATCTGTCTCTAAGGATGTGCATCTCTGCAATACATACAGGGCTGACCTTGTGACTCTCCATGCTGGAATCTGGTTTGGTCTGGATGGACAAAGTGCTTTGAAGAAACAAAAAATAGAAATTACTGTTTCATTACTGTGTGTGTGGGCTCTGACCTGGGTCACTCAGGCAGTGTGATCACAGCCTATTTGTATCTCTTCTGTCTTCTCCCTCCCATGGTGTTATTCAGCGACTGCACTCTCCTTTAAGTGGCAAAATACAATCCACCATATTGCCGAGTTCTTTAAGATGACCTTCTTTATAAAGACATGCATTTGAACATTGTGTAGCCCAAATCTCATGTTACTACAGAGCTTTTGGCTTTTAAACTAGAAAAAATTCATTGACCGGTGGTGAAAATTTCACTGACTGATAACCCAAGGCAGAGAGAAAGACCTGGATCTGCAGGAGAGATGTGTCCATCTTTGCTTCAGCTTTACAGTCTCAGAAACACTATGGCTGTTTCCACACAACAGGCCCCACTACGGACACTGACAAGGGCAAGGAAATCTGCAGTGGCTTCTCAGAAATGCCTGCTTACTGGTGGGAAAGAACCATCTAAAGCTGCGCTCCAGAGCTGCCACAGGAGCACGCCAGGAGTCCCTGGGGAGCAGCACCAGCTCCACCCCCATGGCCCTGCCCACAGATGCTGTGCATCTTCCTTCACGCTGCTCTAGGTCACAGGTCAGAGCTGTGGACTCAAAGCTCAGCTCTTGTGATTCAGCTTCCTCAGTCAGCCGTGATTCAGAGCCCTGTGAGCCGTCTCCAGCCCCTTGCCATGCCTGCCTGGTGGTTGGGCTCCTGCAAAGGAGGGCCTCCAGCACCTGCAGGAAGGAGACATCCTCCTGATCTCCTCTCCCTCACCTCTGTGCCCTGGCTCTTGTTTTCCAGCCAGCAGACAATCCCCCTGCAAGGAAACGCTCAAGATTGTCTTGTTCAGGTTCATAGCTCATTCCCCAAACCAGGCATTTCCTCCTTTTGCTTCTCCCTTTTTTCTAGCCCAGGCCCAGCAGGTTGTTATTTTGGGCTGAATACTCCAATGTAGGCATTTTTTATAGAGACAAAGACCATGTAATTCTCAACAGTCATTCCTAGCATCAGTTTATGTTGGATCAGCATGAACAGTTTAACCCCAGTGTATGCACCCATACCATACTGCAATGTGGAATTTAAAACATACTTCAAGCAAAACAATCCCTTTCCCTCACTTTTCTCTCACAACTGGAAAAATCATGTTTGGCAAGTTTTTTTCTTTTTCCATAATAAGAATCGTATTTCAGTCAGGGATTTTCATTAAACATCTACCATGAACAATTTCTGTAGTTTGAAACCCATCTGCTTTGCAGTTCTGACACAGGAAACAAAAATAAAGACAAAACCCAGTCCTGCTCTGGAGAATGAACCAAAATCCAAGAGTCTGAATTTGCTCAAATCTCCATCTATTAAATAAAGCCCTTTTTACAGATAATGGTTTTAAGGAAGTTTTTTTTTCTGTCAAGAACTACATGCTCACTTTGGCATTCTGGGTTGCAGGTATCCATAACAGGCCAGGCTGCACCTGTACATGCTCACATATATGAGCAAATTGCTTGGATTTGGACTATTGATTGTTTCTGTGCCAGAAAGCTCTGCCACTAGAGAGCTTGAATGTCAGGCAAAAAAATATTAGTCTGAGTGCCTCTGTGTCAGGAGTTTCCACATATAAGTGGAAGCATAGCTACTTCTCCTCCTCACATATACAGTTAAATTGCATAAAACACCACAAATCACCAGGAATTATACTGCTAAGGAAGACTAGGTACAAAAAGCTGCTGAAGCTCAAGGACAGAATTTTCAGCAGGTGGTATATATAAATAGGACTGTCCCTGCTCTGGGAGGTCACAGAAGGTAACAAAACCAAGAATATTTCTCAGCAGGCTGGAATTCATCATACAGAGACCCACAGCTCTCCTGGGACATTTTTGGGCAGCCTGCAAACAAGTAAGAACAGATGGAAGAATAGTAAGAATAGTGCTTTAGATGTGTCATTACTCGAGGTACTAACACCATCAGGACCAATACTCAGCCCAAAATTTATTCTGAGCGGTGGCCATGTCAAGCAGCCTGCGTAGGGTTGCCATGGCTACTTGGATCTGCTCCCAGCCCAGCACCCATGGGGAAATTCTGCCTTGCAAACTCCTGAGGGGAACATCTTCTTTGGGAGAAAATGTAACACTTTTCTCTTAACGTATTTTTTTCTAGACACCTGCTGACACCAGCAGACATCACTGATAAGTAGTGCTTTTCTTTTGGATGGCAGATGATGGGTTTGAAACAGGAACTTGTCTTGGGGGAATGGTTGCCATTCAGCTGTGGAGATCATTATGTGCATCCTGCTGCATGTTTCTAATTCCTGGAAAGATGCAGAAAATAACAATCTTGAACAGCTAAAAGGCCTGTGGAGATCATTATCCTGCTGCATGTTTCTAATTCCTGGAAAGATGCAGAAAATAACAATCTTGAACAGCTAAAAGGGCTCTGCTGACTTTTGGGGACAATATTTCTGTCCCCCAGAGCCATTGCTGCCTTCAAGGCACCCTGCTCTGAGAAGACAATCAGGAAGAGGTGATTTTCTCTGGCTGTGGGTGTGTTGTGGGTAGCTGGGGACATTTCATTGACATGAGAACTGCTGCTTAGGGAGGGATCGTGATGCTGCCATTTATAGGAACTCATGACTTTAGCAGAATCTACATGCAGACATCTGCCAGACTGCTGTAATCCTGATGATAAGTGCAGAGAAAAAATTCACCTTTCTTGGGCTTGTAAAACTAGATCCAAAGCACCTTAAGAGCAAGAAAATATCTACATCTCACCATAACAGTGCCTGAATGTCAAGAATATGATCAAAAGCAAGAGAAAAATAGGCTGGGTTCTGTGAGCCAAACATATTGCCACAGCATATTGAGTTTTACCTGATATTTAGAAGCCCATTGAAAAATGTCACCTTCAGGAAATAAAAGGGGAAATGTGTAGATCAGTGGGCAATTTTGAGTAGTCTGAAACAAAGAGATAAGAAGTAATTGAATTTTTCTTGTGGGTGACAGAAGTATTACCAACATGAATTAGTGCTTCATTGGTGACAATACTCTGTTTTTGTGTCCTTTGGCAACTCAGTAAATGAATAGAACGTGGCCAGGTTATGAACTGTTATATATATTTATGATTGTCTCATCTTCCTCTTTCAAACACCAGCATGGTCTGAAGAGTGTCATCTTTAGGCACTGACTCGAATCTGTATTCATGCTCCCTTTGCTCTTTGGATCTCGCCATCATTTCTCCATCCAGATGCAGATGTCTTTGAGTCACACTGTCCCTGAGCATTCTCTCTTCCTTTCCTCTCCAATTTTTTCCCCACAGAATTGTGTTTTCTAGTTCCACTGTTCTGGTTACATGGACAAACCAAGCCAATTTCCATCTTATTGCTTACACCAGCTCATGGGACTCAATTACTTCAGCTTCTTCTCTAGTGGCACTGTAAGTGCTATCCACTTGTTTTTGGTGTCTGTGTAGTCCTTCAGAGACATCTGAATTCAAAGACACAAATTCCTTATTCTGCAGCAGTTATGTGGACAGAGGACTACTGAGAAAACAACCATCCTCAGAAGTCCTGCCTGGATGTGCTGAGATGTTCTCAATCTTCCAGATTCTGGGAAACTGTGAGATTTATCATTATGGGTGTGATTCCAGTTTCCTATTTTCGGATTATAAGTCCAGAGTGTCCTAACAAGAGGTGTTTTTCTCCCTTGATATAAGTTTGATACCACAGTTGCCACGACCTTTGCAGTAAGCAGCACAGGCCAGCTTTGCTGCTGTTCTACCCTCAGTGAGTAAACCTTGCTATGAGGATGGGATCACACCAAGGCAGAGGCTACCAGAATTCTTCCTCCCAGACACTGACAGTTCAGGTTAGCAGGTTAGCAGCTCCCTGCCACTGGGGAAGGAGTGCTGGGTATTTTAATGGTGTGTTACAGTGACTGCTATAGCCCCAAAGCTGAGGCTGTTGTGTCTGTCACGATACACTGTGATTGTCCTACCTGCTGTGCTTTGCAGAAATGTGTCAGAGTGTGATGCAATTCCTTCAGGTTATTGTTCCAGTTCCCCAGTTCTGACCCTTATTCATGCAATTGGCTCATGGTGGTTTTAAAAGAAAGATCCTCAGCTGGATGGTTCTAAAGGAGGAAAATTTAGACTTCATTGGCAGAAGTCCTTATGGTGTTTAAGGACTTTCTGCAACATCTCTGTTGGGAAGTTCCTAGTATCTGTCTCTAGCATTGTTTCATGTGTTATTTCTTGACGACCTTGTGGATGGTACTACATGGCCTTCTAATGCTGTGTTTTTGTAAAACACTGACACTGTTTATCTTTTTTCTCTTCTCAAGGCCTTTTTATTTATTCTGTAATCTGTTGCCTCTGCTTCTTCCACATAATTTCAAAGCTGTAGTTTCAGTTTTGGTTGCACAATTCTAGACTGTCCTGGTCAACCTATGTCTTTTTTGTCTTTCTAGTGTGCTTTACTTAGCTGCCAGTTGTTTCTGGGCTTTTTCCTCATCAAGGAAGGGCTGAAACTTCCCCCATTTGAACTTCTGCCTGAGACTCCTGTTGTGCATCCAG